TCTAGTCTATAGTCTAGTCTATAGTCTAGTCTATAGTCTAGTCTATAGTCTAGTCTATAGTCTAGTCTATAGTCTAGTCTATAGTCTAGTCTATAGTCTAGTCTATAGTCTAGTCTATAGTCTAGTCTATAGTCTAGTCTATAGTCTAGTCTATAGTCTAGTCTATAGTCTAGTCTATAGTCTAGTCTATAGTCTAGTCTATAGTCTAGTCTATAGTCTAGTCTATAGTCTAGTCTATAGTCTAGTCTATAGTCTAGTCTATAGTCTAGTCTATAGTCTAGTCTATAGTCTAGTCTATAGTCTAGTCTATAATCTAGTCTATAATCTAGTCTATAGTCTAGTCTATAGTATATGATGTAGGGTATACAAATTCCCAAAAGCCCGGTTAAGAAGTTGTTATTTTTTTTCAGTTCGTGTTATTTCATAAAAAATGCACAAAATGTAGAGGAAGAAAAACAACAAAAAACCGACCGAGAACTACCAATTCAATGCGACATTGAAAACATGGATGCATACATATCTATCCTAGAGCAAGGATACATAAAATAATACAAGGATATTTTGGTTAAAAGTGTGTATGGGTGTGTGTATTTAGTATTATACTCTGTTAAATGAATAAAAACTGAAACGAGAGCATAATACAATAACAATTCACATGATGCCAGTTTATAATCGTCTACAAACGTCTACCACAAACAGACACACGGACACACACAAATACAATTTAACCTTTGATGCATCAGCACCGAAAACGGCCGTATCAGACAAAATAAATATATAGACACGGATAAGTTAAGTTGACTGTAGCAGAGTTACTACTAGGTTTAGTTGTTCATGACAAGAGGAGGGGGATGGTGTTGACAAGAGGGAGATTTCGGCTGCATTTTGTTCCAGTTGAAATCTTAAATAATGATTGTATGTTTGTTTTACATTTTACCGTAGTTTTTTTTACAGTTATCCTTATATTTGGTGTTTGTCGTCTAGCTGTTTGGCTGGCTGTCTGCCAAATCTACAGACAGACATAATGTTGTCTCCCTCTATTACTATAATATTTGTTTGCATTTCCGACCAATATACTGAATATATTCAACACATACAATACGCCGAGATATAAACGAATTTGTATTTTTGTTGCTGCAGATTTACTACTACGTTTTTTATTTTACCGGCAAAAATGTTATTAAGATTGCAAAATGTATAAATAGAAAATCTGATAGAACTCTATACAATTCCGACATTGAGATTTGCTACTAGGATTTGATGAATTAAAAGATCTAATGATTGAACCTTATGATATAAAAAGATCGATAATTTATGAAGATTTGTAGAGTATTTAACATAACATAATGAAACTATAAGATTCAAGACTTGACTACACTATAGGCTAGACTATAGACTAGACTATAGATTACACTATAGCCCATAGACTATACTATATTATAGACCATACTATAAACTAGACTATAGACTAGACTATAGACTAGACTATAGACTATACTATAGACTAGACTATAGACTATACTATAGACTAGACTATAGACTAGACTATAGACTAGACTATAGACTATACTATAGACTAGACTATAGACTAGACTATAGACTTGACTATAGACTAGACTATAGACTAGACTATAGACTAGACTATAGACTAGACTATTGACTAGACTATAGACTAGACTATAGACTAGACTATAGACTAGACTATAGACTAGACTATAGACTAGACTATAGACTAAACTATAGACTAGACTATAGACTAGACTATAGACTAGACTATAGACTAGACTATAGGCTAGACTATAGACTAGACTATAGACTAGACTATAGACTAGACTATAGACTAGACTATAGACTAGACTATAGACTATACTATAGACTAGACTATAGACTAGACTATAGACTAGACTATAGACTAGACTATAGACTAGACTATAGACTAGACTATAGACTAGACTATAGACTAGACTATAGACTAGACTATAGACTAGACTATAGACTAGACTATAGACTAGACTATAGACTAGACTATAGACTAGACTATAGACTAGACTATAGACTAGACTATAGTCTAGACTATAGACTAGACTATAGACTAGACTATAGTCTAGACTATAGACTAGACTATAGACTAGACTATAGACTAGACTATGTACTAGACTATAGACTAGACTATAGACTAGACTATAGACTAGACTATAGACTAGACTATAGACTAGGCTATAGACTAGACTGTAGACTAGGCTATATACTAGACTATTGACTAGGCTATAGACTAGACTATAGACTAGGCTATAGACTAGACTATAGACTACGCTATAGACTAGACTATAGACTACACTATAGACTACACTATGGACCACACTATAGACTACACTACAGACTAGACTATAGTCTAGACTATAGACTACACTATAGACTAAATTATAGACTAGACTATAAATTACATTATAGACTAGACTTATAGACTACACTATAAACTAGACTATAAAGTAGACTATTGACTTGACTATAGACAACACTATAGAATACACTATAGACTAGACTATAGAATACACTATATACTGCACTATAGACTACACTATAGATTACACTATAGACTACACTATAGACTAGACTAAACTATAAACTACACTATACTAGTCGCGGTATTTTCAATGTCTGATACTTACCTAGAATCGTTCCGAATTGATTGTTTGAGCGTAGGGTGTATAAAAATTATTTTCTATAAATATATAGACTATAGACTAGACTATAGACTAGACTATAGACTAGACTACACTATAAATATATAGACTATAGACTAGACTATAGACTAGACTATAGACTAGACTATAGACTAGACTATAGACTAGACTATAGACTAGACTATAGACTAGACTATAGACTAGACTATAGACTAGACTATAGACTAGACTATAGACTAGACTATAGACTAGACTATAGACTAGACTATATACTACGCTGTAGACTAGGCTATAGACTAGACTATAGACTAGGCTATAGACTAGACTATAGACTAGGCTATAGACTAGACTATAGACTACGCTATAGACTAGACTATAGACTACGCTATAGACTAGACTATAGACTACACTATAGACTACACTATGGACCACACTATAGATTACACTACAGACTAGACTATAGTCTAGACTATAGACTAGGCTATAGACTAGACTATAGACTATAGACTAGACTATAGACTAGACTATAGACTAGACTATAGACTAGACTATAGACTAGACTATAGACTAGACTATAGACTAGACTATAGACTAGACTATAGACTAGACTATAGACTAGACTAGACTATAGACTAGACTATAGACTAGACTATAGACTAGACTATAGACTAGGCTATATACTAGACTATAGACTAGGCTATAGACTAGACTATAGACTAGGCTATAGACTAGACTATAGACTACGCTATAGACTAGACTATAGACTACACTATAGACTACACTATGGACCACACTATAGACTACACTACAGACTAGACTATAGTCTAGACTATAGACTACACTATAGACTAAACTATAGACTAGACTATAAATTACATTATAGACTAGACTTATAGACTACACTATAAACTAGACTATAGACTAGACTATAAAGTAGACTATTGACTAGACTATAGACAACACTATAGAATACACTATAGACTAGGCTATAGAATACACTATATACTGCACTATAGACTACACTATAGATTACACTATAGACTACATTATGGACTAGACTAAACTATAAACTACACTATAGACTACACTATACTAGTCGCGGTATTTTCAATGTCTGATACTTACCTAGAATCGTTCCGAATTGATTGTTTGAGCGTAGGGTGTATAAAAATTATTTTCTATAAAAAATGGTCTGTTGTGATTCTTTCTAAGGTAAAAGATAAACTTCTAAATCGCACAAAAAAATAATAACGCACATCAAATATGGATTAAGGGGTGGAATTTTGTTACATGAATAAATTACGAAGACTCTTTTTTGGATTATTGGTGGTGGTTTAGAAGCAACGTCTTTAGTTATAACTGTAAGAAGGAACAATTTAGTAGATGACTATTGATAAAAGTTCAATTTATTTTACTTTCTGACTTTTAACCATTGCTACTTTATGTGTCAATTTATGGCAATATAAATGACAATCTGTTAAAAATTAAAATTTATAAGCATTGGTTTACCTTTATAGAAAACATTTTTTGATAAAAAACAAAGTCAATAACAACAATAATTTTGGGTTTTTTTGGTTAAAACAAAATGTGTGTATGTATATTTATTATGGTATAAAAATACAGTTTTTTTCATAAATTAATAAACAAAAAGTTGTTTGCAAAAAAAGTGGCACAAAATTGTCGCGTTTAAGCCAAAATTGTAAACGAACGTATTGGCAGGAAGGCAAAGTGGTAGTGGCCCCGTTAAGATTTCGATCGTTGGCGGTGGTCAGAGAGGTTCTAAAGTTTGGCGACGTGAACGTATCGAAATGACAAATGATCCAGATTTGGATGATTGTGCTTTTTTATCAGGTAATTTATAAAATTTGATTTTAAAAAATATTTAAATGTCTTTTTCTTAGTTTTAGTATGAAAGTACGAACAAAATTTTAAATATTCATAGGAAATTGTTTATAAAACTTTTTATTTTCTGACTTTTAATAAACTTCTATAAAATATTGTGTAATTGTAAATTATACAACCTCAAAATTGAATTCCTTAAGTATTTACACAACCATCATCATAAAAAAAGGGTAAATTGTTTTTTTTTCAACTTTTCCCTTTTACACTCTAAATTTATGCAAATATTTAATAACTCCCAAAACAATTTAAATTTATTGTACTCAATAACTCATGCCAAACAACCAAACTAGGGGAATCCTTTAATAAAAATATTTTCTTTGTTTTCCTTCATAAATTTTTAATTACAAATATTGTCATATTTTATTAAACGAATAAAAAATATAAATCCCTTATTTTATTTTTTTTTTGTTACAGGTGGTGAATCTAGCGGTGGACGACAAACACGCAATGGTGTCGCTGTTTGTTCACAAAAACGTGCCCTCCTAGTGGCTGGCATTGTATTGGGTTCACTCCTGCTGACAGCTTTAATAATTGCCTATGCTGGTCCATCAAATGGTAAGAGATTTTTTATTTCAGTCTAAAAGCCTATAAGAAAAACAAAAAGCAAAAACAATAACATTGTTATAAAACATCATAAAAATAACACTTTCGTTATTTGTTCCATTCTGTTTCACTTTTTTTTTTTTATTTTTTTGGGAATTTTTAATTTTTTTTTATTAAAGCGACACATTTTGTTTCAGTTACTTAATTATTATGTATTTTATATTGATAGTAATTACAAAATATTTAGGGGTTTTTTATTATAAAATTCCATTAAAATTTTAATGATTAAAACAAGACTCATGTTAGATACATTAATAAATAACGTGAGTGTCAGTTAAAAAATTGACTTTTTAGTGTAAATATTGCGGTTAGAATTTTAATGATTTTTTAATGATTTCAAATAAATTTAGCAAAAAAATGATTAACTTTTTTTAAGAATTTTCAATAAATTTTTTCTTAAAGAGAAATCTTGATAAATGGCCTCTCTTTTAGAGAACTTCCTTTAAGTCTTTTCTTTATAGAAAATTTTTGAAACAATTTTTAATTTTAACAAATTTTTGAAACATCTTCGCTTTATATAAAATTTTTGAAAAATTTCTTTTTCATTTAAAAAATGTCCTTTTTTATGTAAAATTTGCGAATAAAATTACTTTTAATAAAAAATCAAAATTCTTTTATAGGAAATTTTCTCTTTAATAGAAATTTTTCATAAAATGTTTCTATTTTGTATATTTTAGGGAACATTCTTCTAAAAGTTTCTATTTAATAGAAATTTTTCTTTTTACCGAATTATTTCGTTAAATGTTTCTCTTTATAGAACATCTTGGTTAAAAATTACTCTTTATTGAAAATTTTCCATTATATTTTAGGAAATTCAATTTTTCAATGTTTCAATGAAATATATCTTAATAAAAAGTATTTATTTTAGAGATTTAATTAAGACTTTATTTGTCTCTTGTTAGAGAATTTTAATTTATTTTGAATAAATATCAGCGAAACGCAATGAGCTCTCAAATATGCTCTCTCTCTCTCTCATTCACTCGAACGAATGCTCACACATGTATAAAAAACAAACGGAACCAGTTAGAGAACTAATTTTTTACTCTCTGCTTTTCACAGATTTTCTATAAAAACTGTCCATTTTGACAATTTTTTAAAAAATTTTCTCTTTTTAGAAAATTTAAAATAAAATCTTTACAGAAAACTTTATTTTCTTTTTAAAGAAATTTACCCTTTCTCTTTATAGAAATTTTACAGCAAATTGCTCTTAACAGAAAATTTTTGATAAATTGTCAATTTTGAAAACTCTTAATTAATATTTTCTTTACCTAAATCAAGAATAGAAAATTTATAATAAATTTCTCCTTATAGAAAACCTTAATTTTTCTTTAAAAATATTTTTCAACTAATTTGCTCTTAACAGAAAATATTTAAAAAATTTTCTCTTAATAAAACATTTTTTAAAATTTTCTCTTTATAGACAATTTTCGATAATTTGTCAATTTTGAAAATTTTTAATAAATTTTCTCTTTTTAAATAATTTCCAATAAATTTTTTCTCTACAGAAAACTTTAATCACTTTTTAAAGAAATTTTCTCTTAATAAAAAATTTCTAATATATTTTCTTCTTATATAAAACTTAACTATCTCTTTATAGAAATTTTTCAACGAATTTGCTCTTAACAGAAAAGTTTTAACAAATTTTCTTTTCAAAGAACATTTTTTCGATAATTTTCTGTTTATAGAAAATTTTCAATAAATTGTAATTTTTGAAAATTTTTAAAAAAAATTTATCTTTTTATATAATTTTCAATAAATGTTTTCCCTACAGTAAACTTCATATTCTTTTTAAAGAAATTTTCTGTTAATAGAAAATATATAATATATTTTCTCCTTATAGAGAACTTAACATTCTCTTTATAGATATTTTTCGATAAATTGTCAATTTAGAAAATATTTAATAAATGTTCTCTTTTTATATAATTTTCCATAAATTTATTCCTTACAGAAAACTTTAATTCCTTTTTAAAGAAATCTCCTATTAATAGAAAATTTGTAATAAAATTTCTCCTTATAGAAAACATTATTCTTTCAACAAATTTCCTCTTTAAAGAAATTGTCTCTCAATAGTGTTCATTTTGAAAATTTTTAATAAATTTCTCTTTTGTAGAAATTTTCAATCATTTACAGAAAACATAACTTTCTTTTTAAAGACAATTTCTCTTAATAGATAATTTCAAATAAACTTTCTCCCTATAGAAAACTTAACATTCTTTTTATAGAGATTATATTATCAAATTTGCTCTTTACTGAAATTGTTTAACAAATTTCCTCTTTTTTCTCATTTTTCGAAAAATTTTCTATTTATAGAAAGAAGACTTTTTGCTTAATTTTCAATTTGTAAACAATATAAATTTTCTATTTATAGAAAAAGTTTTGTTAAATTTTCTTTTAAATTCAAATTTTAATATTAAAACCTTTTTACACAATTTTCAGGGACTTTAATATTTCCACATATTCCCACAGAGTATCTTTTTTTCTCTGTAGCTTCCACCTTTGTTTGCATCCTTTATTGTGTTTTAATTAAAAAAACATAACCTCAATTTTTGTTATATTTCTGTGGTTTGTTACTATTTAATTATTCAATATCCTGTATACAGACAAAATAAAAGGAAAACCGTATGGTACCCATATTACAGTTAAAATCATGTTTATTTCACTATGGGTTTTCCCCACCCACAAGATGTTGCAGAGAACATTATAACTGTTATTATTATTATTCGTACACTAATTGAATCATTGTGCAATATGACAACAATATTTACATTTATATTGTTTTTTTCACTTTTTATTAGTTGCGGTTGTTGGTGTTTTTACAATTTACCTTATAAATGCATTATTAATGCATTTTTTTTTCATATTCAGTCTTTGTTGTTGGTTGGTTGTTTGTTGAATAAATTCTGGAACGAGTTACATAAACATCCTTTGTAGTTCTTATTATTCCTTTTAATGCATTTTTTAATGTATGTATGTATGTGTATAGGTATGTTTATATGATCTCTGCTAAAAAGGCTGCCTTTTGAAGCTGTCATATAGTCAATAGATGTATAAAGTTTATTTCATTAGGAAATGTTATTTTAGTTTAACATTAGATATCCCAGATTTCTTAGGTATCTTCTTAACATATCGTACAGAAGCCACATAATTTTAATCCATTTAATTTCAATGAAATAAAATAAAATTACTTCTGCAGTTGTATTACCCTGTACCTTATTGTAAAACCCATTTACAAATACATGTTTAGTTAGATTCTAATGGTCTGCCTTTATTCCTTTTAAACCGACTAGTAATGTGATGAATAGGTACAAAAGGTGAACATAACTAAGTAAAAAGCTTGTTGTTTGTTTAGCCACTTCAATTAAAAACTCAGCCATGTCCTTCCATCTACAAAAATAATGCATTTAATGTCTACGGCGTGTTTGTTTTATGGTCCCCAATGATATTCATTAGATAAAGTATTTGTTTTGTTCTCCAAGGCCAGAAGACAGAGACTCTTTATGTGAAAAGTACTCACTCACGTTTACACATCAATAATTCAATTAATCGAGGTTGTGTTATAAATTCTAGGAGTACAAAGACATGTACGTGGAAGATTGTAATTAAAATAATTTATAATTATTAATGTATCTGAGAATTAAATGGATTAGCTAAGCGCTAATGGATTATGTTGATTTTCACTTTGGTGTATGTAGTCCATACTATGAAAGTAGAATTGTAATATTAAATTATTAATACTTGTAATCATTCATATTATGTGGTAAAAGTAATTATGTGGACAAGTTTGTACTACAGAGATAAAGTTTAGGAAGGGTGGTTAGCTAATCCTTTTCCGTCACATAATACAAAACTCGAATATACATGGACCTATCCAAAATATGTCCATACAAGAACATACATATAAAAAAGTAAATATATTTTCCAATATATATCCCTGATATATCCTCTAGGTAGTATAATAGCATGTCCCGTGAACTACTTTTTTGTAGGAATCAACATTTTCAATAGCTGGTAGGGTACTGAGATTCCTTTGAAAACTAAATGTTTTATTATTATTGTATTTAGTACATTAATACGCATCGAAAGAAAGATAATAATATATGAGATTCTTAAATTGGCAGTTCCTCGGGCACTCTATTGTACAGTAATGGATAACCCATTGATGAAATCCTTTCATCTCTTTCTCTCTTCTTTATTATACCAATTTTTCCTGAAGTCTTTAAAAGGTAGAATTAGTATACCTTGTACTGAAACTACTGCTCACTACTCATTTATTGATATTTTAAGACTATTTAAGACAATAACTTAGCCTATAGCTTAGACTATAGACTAGTTAAAGTTATAGACTAGGCAATACAATAGTCTACAGAATAGACTGTAGACTAGACAATAGAATACGATTTAGACTAAACTATAGATTAGACTATAGACTATACTAGACTATAGTCTGGACTAGACAATAGTCTGGATTATAAACTAGACTAAAGACAAAACTATAGACTAGATAATAGACTAGACTATAGACTAGATAATAGACTAGACTATAGACTAGACTAGACTATAGACTAGACTATAGACTAGACTATAGACTAGACTATAGACTAGACTATAGACTAGACTATAGACTAGACTATAGACTAGACCTAGACCTAGACTATAGACTAGACTATAGACTAGACTATAGACTAGACTAGACTATAGACTAGACTATAGACTAGACTATAGACTAGACTAGACTATAGACTAGACTATAGACTAGCTATAGACTAGACTATAGACTCGACTAGACTAGACTATAGACTAGACTATAGACTAGACTATAGACTAGACTATAGACTAGACTATAGACTAGACTATAGACTAGACTATAGACTAGACTATAGACTAGACTATAGACTAGACTATAGACTAGACTATAGACTAGACTATAGACTAGACTATAGACTAGACTATAG